AGCCCCAGGCTTTTCTTTGCTGGAAAACTTTTTATTAAGGCTTCTATCTTATCACTTGTTATTGGTTTATTCAGGTTTTGGATTTCTTCATGGTTCAATCTTGGTACATTGTATGTGTCTAGGAATTTATCCTTTCTTCTAAGTTTTCCAATTTGTTAGCATGTAGTTGCTTACAGTACAAAGTTTTTGTCCTATGATTTCTTGAAGTTCTATAGGTTTTACATTTGGATATAAACTCAACTATTTTGAGTTGTTTTTCTAGGTGGTGTTACATGTGGGTGAAAGTGGTGTGTGTGCACGTGTGTGTGTTCCATATAGATATCCAATTATTCAGGCACAATTTGTTAAGAAAACTAACTTTCCCTCACAGAATTGCCTTTGAAACTCTCAAAAATCATGTGTTCATACATGTGTGAGTAAGCTTTTCAATTTTATTCTGTTTGCTAAACATCCATGTTTAGTCGTAATCTATAATAGCATGACTAAAACTTAAGAAAAGTGCAAAATGAGAATAATGGTAGTAATCCAGCTTGTTAGATAAGAAAGAGATTACTTTGATGTAGTCATGGAAGAATTCTCAAGGAAAGTGGCTGTTGTGAACCGAATTGTTTCCCCCGCCCTTCAAATTCATATGTTGAAGACCTAACCCTGAGTATGATGTTATTCAGAGATAAAATCTTTAGGGATGTAATAAGTTTAAATAAGGCCATAATGCTAGGACTCCAACAGGATTGGTGCCACTGTAAGAAGAGGAAAACACCACAGAGCTCTCTCTCCACATGTGCACAGCAGAAAGGTCACATGGGGTTGTGGCCACAAAAAGGTGGCTATTTGCAAGCAAAGAAGAGCGCTTGTACCAGAAACTAATCCTGATGGTACCTTGATCTTGGACTTCAAACATCCTAAATAAATCTGTGTTGTGTAAGCTATCCAGACTGTGGTATTTTATTTTGGCACCCCAAACTGACTAACACAGTGGGGTCTAAGAAACTCTTGAGGAACTTGACATTGAAAAACTTGAGTCTCTATGGAATGTGTTTGTGGACCCTTAGTTCCACTAATTGGAACACTGTAATAAAAAGAAAAAAAGGTCTCAAACTAGTTACTTTTAATTATAATAGCTTTGTCATTTCATACATCTGACAGCATTGAATTGATCCAGGTCAGCCCTCCATGAATAAAACAGTGAGACAGTTTGCTTTCTAGAGAAACTTTCAACCTAATTAACACAAACACATTATTATTACTGGAGAAACTGGGCATTGCTTAATGAAAACCAGTTAGTAGAACTACCTTTGTTATCAAACAAAATAATTTTTGAGACTGTAGGAAGTCTCAAAAAAGAGGTAGGAAGATTGAGTTGGAGGTGATATACCTGGAACAAATGATTTCACATTAATATTGTAAAAATGGAACAATACTAGTCTCTTTAAAAACAAGAGTATCTAAGGTTGTTGAGAGCTTTTAATATAAAAGAATAACCAGTACACAAATTATTTCAAATTAAAGTAGACAGTCATAAATAGTATAGTATGCCCCACTGGTAGACTATCATAAATACTGTAAATATGACCCACTGGTGAGCAAAATTAAACTTATCTCTGGGGCTGTGGAAATAATTCTTAAAAGAGATGGATGGAATTTGACCTGGTCTTGAGAAGTAGCACTTGAGAAAGCAGATGTAGCAGAGGAAGCCTCATAGCTAATGGAGACAGCATGGGCTAAGGAGGAAAACAACTAAGCAAGTGCTGATCCTGAGGAGACTGGTGGTTTAAGAACTGAGATTTTAGGGATCAAAAGAAGTGGTCAAGAGAAAAGGCTGCAAAGCTTTTTAGAGTTACAGGAAAATTTTGTATTAATAATACATTTTCTGAAGCATTATGGGATCATAACTCCTTTCTCCCAAATTTTAAAGACAGATTTTCCATAAAGCTCTCTATTTTTCTTGATTATTTGACATTCCTTCCTATGTATTTATATGCAAAGTACACTACTCACCTGGAGATGAAAAAGCTCCTACACTGCAGGAGTTCAGCTTTAATGACAGAAAGTAGACAACGGAAACAATTACAATTCAGTGTACGATTTAGTAATGGCAAAACTACCTTCATGTAACACTGGGCAAACAAGAAGTCAGCGGTTAAATCCATTTGTGTCCAAATAATGCACCAAACTAAAAGAATACCTATTTCGTTTACCAAGTCAGAGCTATTCTAAGTGGAGTTCAGTTTTATGAGTTAAAAGCATGGGTTCTGGACAAGGCTGGTTTCTTGGGCAAAGGCTTAGAAGTGGGCTTTGGTTAACTGTGCTTTGGGAACATCTTGAAACTATTAGTAATTTCATTTTGGAATTTGAGTTTTGTTAAGTGAAGTCCAGCGGGATAATGGAACATGTGCCAAGGCTTTGTTGTCTCAGATCATATGTGGTCCTGTCTCCCACAGCCTCCCCAGGTGGACTCTCTGGTTTCCTGCTCTCTTGTCTCCACCCAGCAACTGCTGCCACCTTGTTCCAGTGCATACACTCCTACCTGAGTCTTGGGGCAGGGGTCTCAGGCACCTTTGAGGGTCTGCCCTGACAACCTAATGTCTCTGTGCTTTAGGGAGCATCTCATTAAATAATAAATTTAAAAACACCATGAAGAGTCAAGAGACACTATAGAAGAAACTGGTTATTTTATTTGTTTTGTTTTGAGACGAAGTTTCACTCTTGTTGCCCAGTCTGGAATGGTCTTGGCTCACTGGGACCTCCGCCTCCCAAGTTCAAGTGATTATCCTGCCTCAGCCTCCCAAGTAGCTGGGATCACAAGCATGCGTCACCACGCTCAGTTAATTTTGCATTTTTAGTAGAGATGGGGTTTTGTTTCTGGAATTGGTTCCTTCCGGTGGGTTCTTGGTCTCACCAACTTCAAGAATGAAGCCGCGGACCCTCGCAGTGGGTGTTACAGTTCTTAAAGATGGTGTGTCCAGAGTTTGTTTCTTCAGATGTTCAGATGTGTCTGGAGTTTCTTCCTTCTGGTGGGTTGGTGGTCTTGCTGACTTCAGGAGTGAAGCCACAGACCTTTGCAGTGAGTGTTACAGCTCTTAAAGGTGGCACATCCAGAGTTGTTCATTCCTCCCAGTGGGTTCGTGGTCTCGCTGGCTTTCACGAGTGAAGCTGCAGACCTTCCCCATGAGTGTTAACAGCTCATAAAGGCAGTGCGGACCCAAAGAGTGACCAGCAGCAAGATTTATTGTGAAGAGCAAAACAACAAAGCTTCACCAGAACAGGTTACCCCACTGGTGGCTCGGGTGGCCTGTTTTTATTCCCTTATTTGGCCCCACCCACATCCTGCTGATTGGTCCATTTTACAGAATGTTGATTGGTGTTTACAATCCGTTAGCTAGACACAGAGTGCTAACTGGTGCATTTACAATCCTTTAGCTAGACACAAAAGTTCTCCAAGTCCCCACCCAATTAGCTAGACACATAGGGCTGATTGGTGTGTTTACAAACCTTTAGCTAGACACAGCGTGCTGATTGGTGTGTTTACAATCCTTTAGCTAGACACAAAAGTTCGCCAAGTCCCCACCCAATTAGCTAGACACAGAGCACTGATTGGTGTGTTTACAAACCTTTAGCTAGACAGAGTGCTGACTGGTGTGTTCACAAACCTTTGGCTAGACCCAGAGCACTGATTGGTGCATTTACAATCCTTTAGCTAGACAGAAAAGTTCTCCAAGTCCTCAACCCACCCAGAAGCTCAGCTAGCTTCACCTCTCAGTTTCTCCATGTTAGTCAGGCTGGTCTCCAATTCCCAACCTCAGGTGATCCGCCCGCCTCGGCCTCCCAAAGTGCTGCGATTACAGGCATGAACCACTGTCCCCTGCCGGAAGAAACGTTTTTCCTGTATTTTGAATGAAGGGGCCTGGATTTTCATTTTGCACTGCACCCCACATATTATGTAGCTGGACTTGAAGTCCTATAGCAGTGGACAGTACCAGGCAAGTGACTCTGGGCAAGGCACTGGGTGCCTCTGAAGTCACTTTACACATCTGTAAAATAATAGTTCAGAGCAGAGTTGGGTGGCTCACTCCTGTAGTACTAGCTATTTGGAAGGCTGAGGTGAGAGGATGGCTTGCGTTCAGGAGTTTGAGGCTCCAGTGAGCTATAAATGTGCCACTGCACACCAGCCTGGATGACAGACAGACCAGGTCTCTAACAAAATAATAATAATTATAATAGAATAATAATATCTATCTTGTTTGATTTCTGTGGAGATTTTGAGCTAATTTATGTAAAGCTCTTGGACCAGCATTTGACATATTTTAATGGTCAATACTAGAAAGTGTTGACAATTATACATTACCTAATTCAAACACATTCCCTTATGTCTCCTATGCCCGCCGGCTAATATTTCTAAACAGCCATTCCCACAGGCAGTACCAAATGTGTATCCTGGTTTTGCTTCAAACGTTCATTCCTTAAATTTAAACCCTTCTATAGTGTGCAGGAAAAAATGTTCGCACCTCAGCTATAATGTGAGGTTGGAACAAAAAGCTGTGAGGATTTAAAAAGGCGTGTTTGTTAGAAAAGCAAACAATCTTCACAAACACTAGATTTAAAAAAATGGAAGCAAAAAATCGTTCATTCAAGTGCTTGACCATTTCACAAGAGCTCTTTCACAGCCGTTCAGCGCCCCCCTCGCCATTACGAGAGAAAAACCAGGGCCAGTACAATGCGGGCGCAGTGTACTAAAGGGACACACACATACAGTGTACTAAGGGGACACACACACACACACACCGCCCCCCCCCCATCTTGAAAACCTGTACGTTCCACCGCTACCAGCCCCCTCTGGTTTCCATAGGAACGAGCAATTCCGTTGCGTCGCCCTTTGCGCCGGAAGTTGCTCTATATCAGTTCCGGTTTTCCCCTCCAAGCGCCAACGTTTCCTTTTCCCAGGCGGCAGCTAGAGCAGACGGCGGATGAATTGTGGACAGAAGAGGCTTCCGTTGAGGGGCGTGGCGACGCAGCCGTAGTCTGACAGACTCAGTTCACGTGCAGGCAACGGCGGATCATATTCCTTAATCTACCATGGCTCAGCCGGGAACTCTGAACCTCAATAACGAGGTGAGCGCCGAGGAACCTATGGGGCTGACTTTGAGGGTCCTCAAAACCAGGTCTTTTGAGACGCGTGGTCGGAGGCGGGCAAAGAGGGTGCGGCTGGAGGAACTTTCGTAGTGGGCCCACGGGAGTTTCCCACAACTTGGAGTTTGGCAACCGGTAATTTCCCTTTTCGGTCTCTAGGTGACTAAAGTGACAGACATGTGTCAGGCCCCACGAATTTATGTGTATGGGACTTTGGGAAGACCCTTTAGCCTGGATATTCAATATTTTCGTCTGTAAAGCGGAACTCAAGATAGTTCGTCCCAGGGTTGTTGTGAGATTAACTGAGATATGTGAAGTATTTGCAAGTGCCTGACCCTTAAACTTTCAGTACACATTACCTGCTCCTTATTGCCTGTCGAAAATGAAAGAGAGAAATTAAGAGCTGTAGCTTCTAAGAAATTGCTGATCTTGAATGAGACTGTATGCTCAGTACTTCGTTTCCTCTTCCAGTTAGTTTCTTACTCCTTTGCTTCCATTTACAGCGGAACTTCAATAAAGAACTGTTCATACTTGCTATCCCCAATTCTTTTTTCTGCTTCTTCAGTCCATTCTCATCAGACATTTGTTCTCACCACCGTCTCTTCCATAATGTGCTAAGGTCAACAAAATACTATTCCTACCACTTACTCGCCTCTGGTTTCTGCTTCTATTCAACAAAGTAATGTCATCCGAAGTCTTAAAGTAAGCTGGAAACGTAAGGATCGAGTAAGGAACTCACAGTGACATATAGAAAGGAAATTCTTTATCCAGTGTATGAGCAGGTCACTGTTTAGAGTACACATAGTAATGTAAGAGATATTTCATATTTTCTAGTAACAAGGCGGGAAAATGAAGTGGGTAATATTTGTACTTGATCTTTAAGGATCTTCCCCAGGAATCACTTAGTCAGTGATTCAGGAAAGGGGAAGAAGCCATTCCAGGCAGAGGAACTGGTATAAGCAGGAAAGGGTTAGTAGCAGAAAAAACCGTGGGGAAAATGGGATAGGTAACTCTTCACTGATGAGAACTTGTGAGATGAAGAAGGAAATGAAACTGAAATATATTCCCTACTGCCAGATTAACGAGTCTGGATTTCAGTTGACAGTGGAGTACAGGATATGCTGAAGAGGGAAGCTGCAAGCAGTTACTATTTACTCATAACCATACATTAAGCTTATGCTTTCTGCCAGAAAGCATTTGGTGGGCTATTTTCCATTAGGTTACCTGTGATGTATGAAAGATCGGAGTAATGTCCTTGGGATTTCAACCTCAGGGAGCTTCATATCAAATTTTGTAATGACTTTGATGATGGAAACGACAGGGTATAAGCCATTTAAGACTGTTTTTCCACTTAGATAACTTCTGTTCTTCTTCAAAACAGTTAAAATTTGACCTTTAGGAAACCTTCATTAACTCACCTTGGTCTGGGTTAGGTGTCTATTCTTTGTGCAGCCAGATTGCTTTCTCCTCTGGAAACACTTACATAACTGTTTCTGTCTTCCTGTGTTTATGTGTCTGTCACGTGTAACACATATGTTTACTAGGTAATTAAATGAATTTATGAAAGCAGGAACTATACACATCCATCACTGAAGTCTAGTGTGTTCTAATGTGAAGGGTATAAAAAGGTCAGAAAAAAGTGGAGATGATGGAGGATATTATAATTTAAAATTAGTGGGGGAAAAAACCACGAAAGGAAAGATAGTTATAGATTTATCTACATTAAAAAATTGAATAACATATCAAAGAAAAGAAAAAGGACAACCAACTAGAAAAAAAATATGCAGCAAATATGACAAAGGACTAATGCCTTTAATAGGAAATACCTCATAGAAATTAAAAGAAACCATCTCAGAAAATAGGCAGAAGTGAATTAACAACTTCTTAAGGAGGAAATGTATCTGAAAAATAATTTGAATTTGCTTTCAATCTTTTCACTTCTTTTCCATCACCACTAGAATCCTAGTACAGCTGCTGTACTGGCTTCCCAGCTACTTACATGGACTCCTTCTCAAACTTTAATCTTTTACATATATACTTTAGATTCTGGGGTACATGTGCAGAACGTGCAGGTTTGTTACATAGGTATACATGCGCCATGGTAGTTACTGCACCCATCAACCTGTCATCTACATTAGGTATTTATCCTAATGCTATCCTTCCCCCTGCCCACCCCCCCTGATGCACAGGCCCTGTTGTGAGATGTTCCCTTCCCTGTGTCCATGTGTTCTCATTGTTCAACTCCAACTTATGAGTGAGAACATGCGGTGTTTGGTTTTCTTTTCTTGTGTTGCTTTGCAGAGAATGATGGTTTCCAGCTTCATCCATGTCCCTGCAAAGGACATGAACTCATACTTTTTTATGGCTGCATTGTATTCCATGGTGTGTATGTGCCACATTTTCATTATCCAGTCTATCATTGATAGCCATTTGGGTTGGTTCAAAGTCTTTGCTATTGTAAACAGTGCCACAAAAAACATATGTGCACACGTGCCTTTATAACAGAATGATTTATGATCCTTTGGGTATATAGCCAGTAATGGGATGCTGGGTCAAATGGTGTTTCTATTGCTAGATCCTTGAGGAATCACCACACTGCCTTGCACTATGGTTGAACTAATTTACACTTCCACCAACAGTGTAAAAGTGTTCCTATTTCTTCACATCCTCTCCAGCATCTGTTGTTTCCTGACTTTTCAATGATTGCCATTCTAACTGGCTTGAGATGGTATCTCATTGTGGTTTGGATTTGCATTTCTCTAATGACCAGTGATGATGAGCTTTTTTTTCATATATTCATTGGCTGTGTAAATGACTTCTTTTGAGAAATGTCTGTTCATATCCTTTGTCCACTTTTTGATGGGGTTGTTTTTTTTCTTGTAAATTTGTTTAAGTTCTTTGTAGACTCTGGATATTAGCCCTTTGTCAAAGGGGTAGATTGCAAGAATTTTCTCCCATTCTGTAGGTTGCCTGTTCACTCTGATGGTAATTTCTTTTGCTGTGCAGAAGCTCTTTAGTTTAATTAGATCCCATTTGTCATTTTTGGCTTTTGTTGCCATTGCTTTTGGTGTTTTAGTCATGAAGTCTTTGTCCATGCCTGTGTCCTGAATGGTATTGCCTAGGTTTTCTTCTAGGGTTTTTATGGTTTTAGGTCTGACGTTTAAATCTTTAATCCATTTTGAGTTAATTTTTGTAGGAGGTGTAAGGAAGGGGTCCAGTTTCCGTTTTCTGCATATGCCTAGCCAGTTTTCCCAACACCGTTTATTAAATAGGGAATCCTTTCCCCATTGCTTGTTTTTGTCAGGTTTGTCAAAGATCAGATGTTTGTAGATGTGTGGTATTGTTTCTGAGGCCTCTGTTCTGTTCCATTGGTGTATATATCTGTTTTGGTACCAGTACCATGCTGTTTTGATTACTGTAGCTTTGTATTATAGTTTGAAGTCAGGTAGCACGATGCCTCCAGCTTTGTCCCTTGTGCTTAGGATTGCCTTGGCTATGCAGGCTCTTTTTTGATTCCATATGAAATTTAAATTAGTTTTTTCCAATTCTGTGAAGAAAGTCAATGGTAGCTTGATGGGAATAGCATTGAATCTATAATTACTTTGGGCAGTATGGCCGTTTTCACAATATTGATTCTTCCTATGAGCATGGAATGTTTTTCCATTTGTGTGTGTCCTCTCTTATTTCCCTGAGCAGTGGTTTGTAGTTATTGAAGAGGTCCTTCACATCCCTTTAGGTTGTATTTCTAGACATTTTTTTCTCTTTGTAGCAATTATGAATGGGAGTTCACTCATGATTTGGCTCCCCATTTGTTATTGGTGTATAGGAATGCTTGTGATTTTTGCATATTGATTTTGTATCCTGAGACTTTGCTGAAGTTGCTTATAAGCGTAAGGAGATTTTGGGCTGAGATGATGGGGTTTTCTAAATATATAATCATGTCATCTGCAAACAGGGACAATTTGACTTCCTTTCTACCTATGTGAATACCCTTTATTTCTTTCTCTTGCCTGATTGCCCTGGCCAGAACTTCCAATACTATGTTGTAAAGAGATTAAGATTAAAGTTTGTTGTTATTCTTGCGAAGTAAAGTAAAAATTTATCTTTACTCTTCTAAAAAATAAACCATCACTTTTTACTCTATCTTGATTATTTGTTGCATATTCTTGGTACTTAGAAGAGAGAATTTTTAATTGCTTTTTATAGCAGCTTCCCTAATCTCCAGCACAGTACCTTGTCTACAGGTAAATATAAGAAGTAAATATATATTGGGCAGATGAAAGCATGGATAGCATAACTGTCAACTAATGTTCAATGAGAGGGAAAATCTCCTAAATGCTGACTTTTTTCTCCCTTTTCATTAGAACTAGAGGAGAAATGCACAATTGAAAACCAGTGCCATAGAATTTAGTGAGTAAATAATTGGCAAAACTAGAGCTAGATTTTCTCAAGTCATCTGTTTTCTAAAATTTAGACAGCAGTGATATGTAAAAATCAGAATTAGGAGGTGTAGCAATCTGATGGAGTGCTTTAATTTCATAGGAAGGCCAAATCCTATGTATACAGCTGACATTATTTTATTCTTTTTTTCTTTTTTTTTTTTTTTTTGAGTTGGAGTCTCCCTCTGTCCCCCTGGCTGGAGTGCAGTGGCGCAATCTCGGCTCACTGCAAGTTCCTCCTCCCAGGTTCACACCATTCTCCTGCCTCAGCCTCCCGAATAGATGGGACTACAGGTGCCTGCCGTCACTCCTGGCTAATATATATATATATTTTTTTGTATTTTTAGTAGAGACGGGATTTCACCGTGTTAGCCAAGATGGCCTCAATCTTCTGACCTCGGCCTCGCAAAGTGCTGGGATTACAGGCATGAGCCACCGCACCTGGCCTATTTTATTCATTGATAGCAAATTACCAGTAAGCCCATTAGAAAATTGCTTTTCATTTCTTGTAAGACAGTAAAGGTAGAAACTGAAGTGCCAAAG